AAAATAAATAAATAATACTTTGGAAAAAAGTAACAGGTACAACATAGCAACATCTATGTATGATAACACTAGCTATGTTTCCATCACCCTATTTTAATGCGCATTTTGAAGTATCGCATGAGAAACGAGTGATGGAAACGTCCAATTTCGAATAAAAATCCCTTAATTCGCAAAAAAGTTTTTACGCTTGCTTGAGGTGGTTTTTGACTTGTGCGAAAAAGGGTTGATGCGAATAATGGGAGATGGAAATGCATTTTGCGAATAAATTCCTCCCAAGTGCATCAAAAAGTCGTGACTTTGCGCTATGGGACGGCAAAACCTGACTAACCGGCGGACTGATCTCGTTCACAGCATCTGAAATGTTGTAATGGTCATTCGGAAATGCACGAGCAAAGTCTGTCGTCAAAGTATTTCTGTATAATTGTCTTACACGGCTGCGTTCCCAAACAGCAGCATTCATTGTGTTTCGTTTGCTCGCTCTGAGGCGCAAGTAATTTATTATATATGAAAATGATTATATTCTCCTACTTTTCTTAGTGATTTATAGTGCCAGCTAATCAGGAAGTGACGATTTTGTTCTCCTTGACTTGTTGGATGGAAACGATGCTTGTTCGCAAATGTTTTATGCGATATTCCAGTTTTGCACATAAGTTAAATTCGCAACTTTGGATGGAAACCCGGCTACTGAGAGACTTAAATCAAACATACCCAAGGAAAAGTTAACGCGGGATAATTCAGCCAGTTATAATCAATATCTGGGCTGCACAGGATATCCGTGATGGTTACCACTCTCTCACTTGTTCTGTTTCTATTACATGTGGGAAACTGATATCTGAAACGCAGTCCTGAGCTTCTCAAAAATTCCCAGGTCATTAAGTACTGAGTGTTTTTCGCTTTGTTTTAGGTTAAATTTAATCAAGCACTGGCTGATCATTCCAAGACTGACAAACCCAGGCTCATCGACGGCATCGTTCTCACCAAGTTTGACACCATTGATGATAAGGTATGACCAGAACCCTTTTTTTTTCATGGCATGTTCTTGTGAAATGGATCTTGGTTAAATATAACTCCAGACCATTTCCTGTAGGTGGGCGCTGCTATCTCCATGACCTACATCACAGGTCAGCCCATCGTGTTTGTGGGCACCGGGCAGACGTACAGCGACCTGCGCAGCCTCAACGCCAGAGCTGTGGTCAGCGCACTCATGAAGGCCTGAGATACAAGACCTGCCTCTGCTGCTCCAGCGACATTCACGGTTCAGCTACAGCTAGATATGAGACCCTGTGACCCTCTCAGCTTCCTGTGAATGCAGGCATGCCTACGTGTTGAAGTGATAGGTGTTTTTTTTGCTTTCCTACAGGTTTAACTGAAATTCAGTTCATATTTAGGATCCTTGTGTTTTGTTCCAGGAAAAAAAAGTGTTTCAGTTTAATGAGTGGAAGGAATATCATTTGACTTGATCTCACCTCGGCAACCATTTTTGATTGACATGCAACACAGCCAATCAGACAGCAGTGCTTTGGTTTTCATTTAAATAATGAGATAATGGACAGTATTTTTGCACTTTTCTGCATCTGTTCTTTACGATCAAGTGTAATTTCTGCACACCAAAAAAGATGGACTGAGGTGTTATTCCAACGTTATAAGAGAGATAATATATTCTAAATGTATTTTGTCTACTTTTTATTTGATTAATGTAGGTACATTCAGATGATGCCCACAACCCAAACTGTCTCATGAAATCACTACCATAGTGCCTCAGCTCATTACTTCAGCCATTGATCTCAAAACTATTCTGTACAAACGCTGCCTTTTCTCATTCTTCCTTTTGTACTCCGGCTTTTCATGTCTCTGGATATGAAAGGCATTAAAAGGTATTGTAAGGTTTGGTGCTTGAGGTTTGAAGGCGCCTCAGCAGAAAGTTCTAAAATGCTGCGTATACCAAACTATCTGAAGCCCTACAAAATTTTTAATTTTTGTTTTAATTAATTAGTGACTACTGCCATTTTCATTTTCTTTCAGATCCCTTCATCCTTTTATTTTAGAACAAAGTCAGGTCTTAATTCTCCTTCACCTCATGTTAATTTGCGCTAGCACAATGGCAAGACTGGAGAGCTTCATAGAGAAGATTTGTTGTACTTTGAGAATGTGTAATATTTCTTAAATAAAGCTGCTATAATAGCTTGTAATGATGTGTCATGTTTGGAACTAGTAGTGTGTAATTTCGTTTCCTGAAACCTGTTTTTCTGCCACAGGAAAAAAAAATCTGCTTATATCTCAATTCAGACTTTTTCTTTTTTAGATTCAGAATTACAAGATATAAACTCAAGAATTCTGACTTTTTCTCGCAATTCCAAGTTACAATCTCACTTCCTGCCGTGGAATCAAAATAATAGAGTTAATTACGAATTTTGCTTAAATTTTAACTTCCTTGCAGTTGCTCACAATTCAATTTCTTCTCAGAATAGCAAGTTTGTATTTATATCCTACATATTCTCAGCTGCAGGGGAAAAAAGTTAGAATAGTGAGATATAACCTCAGAATTGCGATTTAAAAGGTCAGAAGCTAATTCCATGGTGAAACATACTTCCATAGAATTAACACTATCATTTCTACAGAAATAATACAAATAGGCATGTCTGTTGAATTCCAAAAACAAACTTGCCTCATGACTGGTGTGGTCTGATTCTCTAAAATTATAGGCTGGTTCTTATGAATCGGTCAAAAAGAATTACAAACCCGCGAGTTATCGGTTTAAATCGGTACAGTCACCAACTTCAGCAGGGTATTACAGAGCTGCAGTAACAGCGGACTCACTGACTGGATGTTTATGACGACGTACATTAAACATTTTCACACAGAAGTGTTGGTGTAGTTGGCGCTAATATCCTCCGTCGCGGACCTTTGCCGATTTCATCCCCCATCTCTTTCCCACTTCGCTTCTTGTCTACATGCTGTCCTATCCTAAAGGAAAGGATTCTTAGTTCACCCAAAAAAAAAAAAAAAATGTCTACTCATTCTCATGTCGTTCCAAACCCACTTCGTTCCTCTTCGGAACCTGGCGCATGCGTTTACGTTCAGAAGAAAGCGCGCGCATGCGTCGTGGCTTGTGCTACTCTCCAAAATGGCGGATTCTGAGCCTGCTCGCCTGAAGTTATGGTTGATTGCTCTTCGGCTGGATTTCAACACACCCTTTAACGTAAACTACGCCAGAGCGTGTACACACCTCACGCACCAGATGCCGTGCGCGCGCCCAAAGACAGTTGGACATAGTAGTGTATTAGAGGTAAAAAATGATATAAATACTGTTCGGTTTCTGGCACAAACCGATCATTTCGTGTCTTAGGACATCAATGTGTCGTCACAAGCCACAGGGTTTAATTTGGATTTGTCTGTGCATGTTTTTTTTACTCTCATAGATTTTGTTACCATTGCCGTGCATTATACGACTGACAGACTGCAACGGCTGGAGTTAAAAATCATCATTTGTGTTCTACTCAAGAAACAAAGTCACCTACATCTTGGATGCCCTGGGGGTAAGCAGATAAACATTAAATTTTCATTTTTGGGTGAACTATCCCTTTAACTCCGAGAGAAGAATTGTTGAATAAATTATATTGTTTTTGTTTTCTTTGCACACAAAAAGTATAAGTTGAGCCACTGATGTCACATGGACTGTATTATTGATGTCCACGTTTCTGGGTCTGGGAACATTTCAGTTGTGTTGCTGTATATGCAGGGTCAGAGAGCTCTCAGATTTCATCAAAAATATCTTAATTTGTTTTCCGAAGATGAATGAAGGTCTTACATGTTTGGAAAGACATGAGGGTAAGTAATTAATGACAGAATTTTTGAAGTGAACTAACCCTTTAATAAAAGAAAAAAACTAAACAAAACTAAATCTTTAAAAAATAAGTTTTGTTTAGTATGTAGATGCTGATCAATCCACCTTATTTTGCAAAGTAAGCTATTTTCTTTCAATGTATGAGACTGCGATTGATTAGCCTCTAGATAAATAACCAGAAGTCCACAAACCAGTGTCTTTATGATTACGATAATGAATTAAAATAATATAACAAATACCAGTTTGCTTTACAAGCAGCATAACGGGTTGTTTTTGTACAGCTAAAGTAAATGGAAGCAGGTGACACCGGAAGTTTCGTACATTCAAGTTACAAATGGCCGCTCTTGCACGTAAGTTAAACATAAGGTGTGTAGATGTAATTCTTGAAAACACATTCACTGCATTTATGTGCTTTCATTAACAACAACAACAACACATTTGGTACCAAACAGATGCTTTATTTTAAAATAGCATATAAATACCTAAAAGACATTTGTGGACAGAGATGATAAAACAGTGGACCACTGGAGTTAAAATACAAAAGGTTTATAAACAACTGTTTACATGTCTTTTTTGAGCATTACTGACCAAGCATTTACGACTATAAATGGGGACTAACTGACAAAGTGCAATAAAATGTATTGAAAGTTGTGTGGTTTTAGAGGAATTATGGCATTATATCATTATCCTCATTAGTCTCGTGACAAGTTCAAGTAGATTCATGGAAGCTGAGATGCTTCTATAAGTAAAGCCTGAGAAATCACACGAATTTTGAGTCACACCTCAGTCACTCTGACGAGGCATTTATTGCATTTCCTCCTCCTTACAGGACAGATTTAGTAATAAAAGAAATGTCCTGAGTCATATTTCAACCAATAAAAATGTGTGTACTGTATATTGAAGCTTGTTTCCACAACAGAATAAAAAAAATTAAAAAGGTAATTGCAACATTTTTTTTTAACAAATCTGACTTTTTTTCTTAGAATTCTGAGTTTACATCTCACATTTCTGTATACTGTAATTCTCAAAATACTGTATATGGAAGCTTCTTTCTGCCACAGAATAAAAATAAAGGTAATTGCAACCTTTTATCTCACAATTCTGAATTTTTTTCTTACAATTTTTTGTAAATCATTATTTATTACAGCAAATGCTTTTTTTATTTAATGAGGGATTTTTCACATTACGGTAATCCGAATTTGAAGGTGGGCAGTGTTTAGGTGTGATAAAAATATGTTGCAATGCAAAATTAACCATGTTAACAGTTAACAGTATATACACACTTATTTAGGGATGAAATATGACATGGACATTTCTTGATCATTTTGTGAGGTTCACACAATCACCATTTTAATATTGCTGGTGCATTTACTGATGTGAAAAATGGGAAGTGAGACTGCATTACTAACAGTCCTGTTCAAATGTTTTGGTATTTGACAGCTCACGTTTAAGATCAGACTTCCCTGAACATTATTCTTGGTCCACACTTCACTTAAAACCACATAAAAAAAAATCTCCCTCACTCACATGAAGTTTCATCAACATTTTCCGAGTTGCAGGAGTTCACAGTTTGCTTGGTGGTGCTTTTACTGACGCCTTTCCCATGTGAAGCGGTACTGGCGGCGCTCGGGTTAAGTATGAGAAATGAGTCTGCTGTGCGTGAAGATCTAGTCATACCAGATCCGAGCGGAAGGGGGCAGCAGAGCTGTGGAAACGTTCCCAGACTGCCACTTGTGTCACGAGTGGTAGTCTGGACAGGGAAAGAGGAAGAGCTACAATGAAGGTCTCGTTACAACACAGTGCGCATCAGCTGATTTCATCACGGGAAGCCACGGGTGCGGAGGAGTACAGTGGGAAGGTGAGTATAAAACAACAACAGAAGCCCTTGTGCTGTATTCATGTTTCTGTCGTTCTAGAAGCATGCACTGAAGGAAAGAAGGGAAAAGGAAAAAATGCATCGTCATATGCCCAAACTGCCTTTAGCATGCAAGCTGGTTGAGGTGCCAACACAAAAGCTGTCCTAACCTTGCAGGAGGTTTTTCTGGGTCGTAAAGCCATTATGACTTTCTTCGCCTTGTGAGATGGGAGATCCTGAATTAATCCAGCAAATAAATCGGTGAAAAACAATAAACATCAGTTCTATGTAATGCATCTAAAAAGTGAAGACAACTTACCCCAGCCATTGGTTACCACGTCGCGATCCACATCCCGGTTGCAAATCTCATTGGCCAGTCGTTCGAAGTACTCCGGCAGGTCGGCGTATTCGTTGCCGTATGAGATGACCTTAATGCCCTTGTCTAGCATGTTGTCACGGAGCTTCTTGAATTCGCCCACATCCTCTCGCCGCACCAGCATGAAATGCTCAAGGTCAGACTTGTGTTTGACCGCCTCGAGAAACAGGGCCTGGAAGGTAGTGTCATCCACTGTCCTCCCACAGCCCAGGAACACAAAAGACTTGGTTTCGTAGAGTTTCTGGATCTCCCTCTGCAAAAACATGCAACAATGTAATAAATACAGAGTTCTGGCATGAAACTCTAGATGGCGCTGTCCGATAGGTCTAACTCAATCTGACTTAATGACATCATTATCACATGGCACAGCTGATTGGTTCTCTCCTGTATCAGTAGCCAATGAGCTCGCTGCTCAACATTCAAATATATGACTAGTGCTTGCCGTAGCAGTGCAGCTTGTTTCAGAAACCCTCCACCTTCCCCAGCTCCACCTGTATAGATCTGCTACGAGGTGATTAATGTATGCTATATGGGGGTTATTTCATGTATGTTATATTTGCAGCAGCAATATTTCTTACATGCTTACCGCGGCATGTCTGTGGATGTATTGGCAGTAGCAAGTCTCAGTACTTGCTCTGCCGCAGCAGATCTATTCCGCCAAGACCAAATACATTAACATTGTCATGTACATTACCATGCCAATCCCTCCGAGAGTTGTCATGGCAGAACTGACGTTAAGGACTGATATGATGATTTTACGTACACTTTGAATACATGTGAGTCTACTCATCTTATTAAAAATAAATAAATAAAATTTACACGTATTTTCCCCCAAAAAACTTTTTATATACATCATGAATTATAAATTTTAGGGGGAGTTGCTCCAATTGAAATAACCTTGCCTTAAATGTCAGATTATCTGATATTTTGAGAGACTTAATTAATCTTGTTTAATTAATGTTTAATTATTAATCTCGACACACAATCATGCAGGGGTCTCTATGATATAATTTATTTTATTCTGCATGTTAGTCTCACCACATGACTTTGATTCGGTAAACAAAATGTATTCAAATATTAATAGGCAAAGCAGAAGTTCATTCGTTTCTAATTTTTTTCAAAATCGCACTTGTGATTTAAAGCACAATTTTTAAAAATCCAAGTTCGCTGTGCTTGTTTGTAGGGCTGCACAATTTGTAAAGTTTTGTGATTATATATCAGTATGACTAAAATAATGTATAATATAAAAACTAATACATACATATATATTTTACATTTTATTATTATTTGATTATATTATTATTTATCATCTCAATTATTATTTTCAATGCTACTACAAGTACTAAATAAATGTACAACAATAACAAAAAAACAAAAAAAGAGTATTTAAGAAAAGTAATATTTTTAAAGTTACACTACTAATATTTCTGGCTGTCTTAATTTCTTCATTTTCAAACATTAAACCATCAAACTTTTGATTCTGACAGAAAACCACAGGGAGCCCTTAATAAGCACAGTGCCACGCTTCACTTAGAAAAACACAGCGGATTTACTTAATTCAATTCCAATTTGATAATCGCACTGAGCCATATCGCAATTTTGATTTTATTTCAATTAATCCCTATGTATCATCCTGACATTTTTGACTTTATGACCCGGAAAACATATCAAACTGAATATGAATTCAGACATTATAACATTCTTATCATAGAAGAGGTGTATTCAATTTATGAATTATATTTTTAATGCATTTTTTTAACTGCGTTATGTCATAGACCATCATAACATAATAAACTGTTATGCTGCTTTTATCAGCATCATATAAACTTCATATAATGCTGTCATAACAGTTTGTATTTGGGTAAATTATTTCAAGGACTGGACAATAAGCAATAAAAACCACCACAAAAGGGAGTATCTCTTCAGGCCAGAATGCTTTGGTTCACAGTGTCCTCCACCCCGGTGAATTATCAACGTTCCAGTGGTGTGACTTTTTTTTTTTTCTCCTGAGAGCAGAAAACATTCACTCACCATGACTTCTGTGTTCCTCAGAACGTTCTGGTAGCCAGCAGGATGCAGTACGATGCCGCTGGGGTTTGTGTAAACACCGTGAATATGGAGTACGCTCAGTCTTCTCTTCTCCTGAGCCCACTCCAGAACCTGCACACACAAGCACACAGCGGCATTTCATACTCCACTGCTCCCAATCCGGCTCCCACTAGGAGCGTCCAGCTGCTTTTAATGACCGCGGGTTCTAATCAAGAGGCATTTGAAGGAAAAGGTGCACAAACACCCTGCCTAAAGGCCACGCTATGGAAAACCACACACGGCCTGATGAATAAAGACACAGGGAACTGAACATGCAGTCACTTGTATTTCCGAGGGCCCTTCAAGTGAGCTGCTGTAGAGCTTACATGCACTAATGCACTACATGACGCTTGGCCTGAGACCATAAGGCTGATTTTATGGCTAATAGCTGAAGCTTTCGCTGCTTTGTGCTGAAGGAAATTTATGGCCAAAAGCAAACAGAGATGAACCCAGTGCACTGAACATCTGAGAAACAGCGTTTTCAAAGCACACTTTGTTTTTAGTTTGCACTGAAAGCAACTGATGATCTGACGATGGGTATTTTTGTACAAGTCCCCATAGTCTCTTCTTCAGATATTTTTAGCTGTTATTTATCAGTGACTTTTATCAGACATAATGCAATTCAATCATAGACTAAATAATCGTGCGCTATATGACATCACATTGCTGATGGACGTTCAGGTCCCGATGACCTGCCAACAAACATTACAATTTTGAAGTGTTTTATATTGATATGTTTATATGTTTTATATTGATATTGAATGAATTCTGAAGAAGACTGGAGTAATGATGCAGAAAATTCAGCTTTGCATCACAGGAATAAATTACATTTTAAAATATATTCAAATAGATATTTAAAATTGTCATTTTGAAGAAATCATTTTGAATTTTTTTTACTTTTTAAATTTAAATGTTAAAATTTGACTAGCACTGTGAAAAAAAACACATATATATTACAAAAAAAAATACAAAAACGTTAAACTTGCAATTTATAAGAATGTTTGATTGATAGATAGAATTAACTACTTACAAAATAACACAAGAACAACATAATTATATTAGCAATAATCGATTATTGCGGTCTCTTTATTTATACTAATAGTCACATGATTTTCACAAGCGAATTTCTACAATTTAGAATTTTAAATAAGACCTTATTTAATATTGCTACCTCAGAATACAAATGTCACGGAGAATAAATTACATTTAGATTATTAAACTATCTTCTTTCATCAACGCTACATTTATGCACCGACCAAATCCAATTCTAAAAGTCAGACCTCCTTCACTATTCAAATGGTTAGCGTCCAATAACTCAGTCTGAACTGTGATGCTAATTCACCTCATTTATACAGAAAACACAGCTGGTACCTTCTTCTCATCTGTGAGATCCAGAGACTCCAGCTTGGTCCCTTGATGGGTGGCGTAAATCTCTAGCAGATTGTCAAAGTTAGTGGTGAGGACCAGAGCGCCGCTCTCCATTAACTGCAGCACGGAGCGGAGGAGATGCTTCCCAGCGTTCTCCATCTTACACTCCAGGTCATCAAACACCTCGTAGAGGCAGTCTTTAAAAAAGGTGGAGCGTACATTTCCCGTCCTCTACAGAGACCAAAAGAAAGAAATTTGAGATGAATAGAAAAACAAATCAACTTCAGGAGTATTCAAATAACTCTTCTGGGAATGCAGTTACTGGAGTCAACCAAAGCAGGCTTTTAGAGAGGAAAATAAGCATTATCTTTTTCAAAGGTCTTGAAATGTTCTCTATGGAACACATCAAAGGAAATTAACAAGCACCTTAATTCATATATTTAGGCTAATCTTGTAGGCAATGAAATTGGCTTGATTTTTACACATGGTGGTGTTCACCAATGCAAACTTCAACCCCGATAATAGGAACCTCATAAGAAACAGAATACTTCAGTCAAATATTTAGGCTATATTTGTAGGTAATTAGAAACTCTGCATAAAATTTTTGGTTCCAGAGTATGTGACAGATTGTGGAGAGAGCGCTGAGAATAGAGGAGTTTTGACAGCAGTGCCCTTGTCCTGGTCAGACTCAATCTCATTACACTGAGCTGAATTCATTCTCTGAGCTTGGCAGAGGCACATGGAAAACCAGAGACAGCGAGAGAGAGAGAGAAAGAGGTGCTCCTATGAATAGCTTGCAGAATCCACTTTCTCAGGAAGAGGCTAATTATCAGCACCTCCACACCTGATGTGAACTAATGCCTCTGATCTCAGAGATGTAAATGTCTTTCAACTGTTTACACCTGGTATTAACCTCGGTCTCGGCGTCTTTACAGATGAAAAAGATGTACAAAACTTTTTTGTAACAAACCACTCAAAATTGCATTTGCAGGGCTCCAGACTAGACCAAAAATATTAATATGCAAAAAAAAATATTTTTTTACCAAAATCAATTTAGCATTACATCACTTGCTTATCAATAGATCTTCTGCAGTAAATGGGTGCCATCAGAATGAAATAGCTAATAAAAAATTGTTTCTTACAAACATGCAGCTTTTCACTTCACAAAACATTATTTGATGAACTGGTAATGATGATTACTTGTGGATTATTGTGATGTTTTTATCAGCCATTTGGACTCTCATTCTGATGGCACCCATGCACTACAGACAAAAAATAAAGTTTAAAGTTGTGAAAACTACATATAATCTAGAACCTTTATACCATACATGCCATTGTAAAGATTAGATGTTTATCCCTTACAGCCTTGATTTCATCTGTGTCGAATTCAATATGGTGTCTACCCTCACTAAGGTCTATTTATCTATTTTATTTTATTTTTTCTGGAGCCCTGATTTGTGTACTCAATGAAAAATAACAGCATTGAGCAACAAGCATTCGGAAATGAGATGAACATGCAATCAATTCTTAGAAGGGTCTGGACTTTTTTGTGCTTATCAACAGTGACTCAATAACATTGATGTCTGAATCAAAAAAGCAGTCTGAAAGTCTCAAGCGTGACTTATATATTCATGCCCAAACATGTCAAAGCGCAAAATGTATTTTGACTGGCATCCACTGACTTGCTGCGAACATTACAAAGAATGCATAACTAAATAAATATGTAATGCTGAAGCTGAATGGACTAGCATCTAGTCACAGCATGTTGTTCTGGAGGTGTGAATCCTGGACGCATGTTCAGATTAGCCTAGTTTTTTGCTCCACTGCTCTGCTCATGTGAGGCTCAAAACTCTCACAAGTAGGTTAAATCACTGAAAGACCTTACACTAACAATAACAAACAAACTGAGCTTGGAAATTCACTGGGTGGAGACAGGCAGCAGGTTGATGTTTTTCTAGGATAGTTATTTTGTTGATGTGAATTGTTCAGCTACGACCATTCCAGGCAACGAAACCCCAGCAATAGAGCTGAAATTCATTACCTAACTCCCTTTCACAAGTCTAATGCCATCTAAATCCTCTAGTGACACGGTGGGTTTGGATGCAAATGATACTGAGGCTTACAGGGATAAACCCCTGAGTGCTGTTTTGACGGGGCGACAAAAACAACAACATTGGTGGCACGTGGTTCTACGCCCCATTTTGGCTAGAGAGAGAGGAAGGGACTAATGATGGACAAACTCATAGTTGTGCTCTTCAGTCCATGCATTGCCTGGATCAACAATACAGAATTTTTTCCTTCAAGATTTTTCCTTGCCCTGCCAACTTTTCACTGATCACAGAAACTGAAACATTGTATGTTTAGTAAAATATTTTAAATGTCCTTTTTTATTATTAAATTTAAATGTATCTTTATTTTAAATGTACTGCTACTTTATAATATCAACCATAAAATCCGAGGTTGGACACTGTAAATCAATTTTAAACAATCTTCATTTTGATGAATCAATATGAATTCTTAAATCCTAAGATCCATCTTTTAGTCGACGCTGTTTCCTGTTGATGCGTGAACAAAATAAATTATATAAAAATATATGACAAAATATATGGATACATGAAATACAGTAGGTGGACAACCAAACTGCCTATTACCGCCGCAGGGCCACAGCGTTAACTGCAAGTCAGTCGCGTGTTAAAGTTGTTCACGAAACTACCGCCAGGTGGCAGTGGCACTACTCATTAGCCGAGCCGAGCGACAGAAAGATAGAGATGGCGGATAAAAAAACGAAAGAGGAAACCGTCTGCGGAACAAAAGAAGGCTTACGATAAGGCCTAATATAGTACTTTTACGATAGAAACTACCGCTAGGTGGTGCAAAGGGAAAATTTGCAAACTGACTGAAATTATGATATTTTGTTTTGTAAACTGAGATCAAATATCGAAATAAAACAACAACAACATTATAATATAAAATTATAACATCCTTTATTATAACATCCTGTATTTAAACAAAGTCTCATCTTTCAGTCAATTTTATAACAAAATTCTAACAATAAATGTGGTTTTCGACACTTTTAAATGTGGCATAACAGATCAAGTGGCACGTGAACCAATCATTTCTTCCTCTTTACTACTGGTTATTGCACGAAATAAACAAACGAGAAGCAACCCTCTACATTGTATAAGTAAATATCGGATCAGCTTTCCAGCGCTGGAGAGAACTCAAGGAGCGGAAGGACTGCGATCGGACGCCGAGGTTGCTTTGTTACTTCTAGAGAGGTGAGTAACACCGTGTCTACACCGGACATGCCGCGCCGCAACAGCTAAAGTCTGTCTACACTGGACGCAATAAAGCGACCATTGAAAATCATTTGAAATTTGTGTCAATACGTCATAAATAGAACGCAGCAGCAGTTTTCTGTCAGG